GCAAACATGAGAATCTGAGTTCAGGTCACAGAGACTATGTGAAAATCTGGATATGGAAGCACGTGCCTGTAATCTGAATGCTGGAAGACAGGAGGGGCCCCAGAGCTTGCTGGCCAGGCAACTGAATCTAATTGGCAACCTCCAAGTTCAGTGAGAGGTGTGGTTTCTTAAAGGCTATTGACTGAAGGAGCAAAAGGAGCTCCCACAGCACCTCCAACCCCCAAACAAACCCTAAAGAAACAGTATATGAACAAAAAGAACAGTGTTAGTGAAAGGACACTGAGTTGGATACAAAGAAAGGTTGGGCTTGGGTTCCCAAGATGACTCAGTCGGTAAAGGTGCTTGTGGTCCAAGCCTGGTGACCAAAATCCTATCCTCCAAAGACACATGAAGGTTAGAAAGAACCAACCCTAAAGTTGTCCTCTGGCTTCCACGCGCACCCCGTGGCCTGCCTCGGTCTCACTGAGCAGCAGTATTCCGGGAAAGCCGATAAGCAGTGAGGGAGTAGGGTGGTGCAAGTAACAGCGGACAGAATGTTTGGCGTGTTTGAGTGGTTGGTGGGTCAGTTCCAGAAAGCAGGAGTGGAGGTGGCTGGGAACCAAAATGCAGGAGCTGCACTTAGCAGGCTAGAATGCAGAGAGTACTTCTCCCATGCATCTAGTTCTGGTGGATGTAGCATGCTCTTCTGGCTTCCTCAGAGACTGGCATACAGAAAATAAAATAATTAAAAAATTAATGTTTTAGCCAGGCAGTGGTGGCACACTCCTTTTATCCCAGCACTTGGGAAGCAGAGGCAGGCAGATCTCTGTAAGTTTGAGGCCAACTTGGTCTACAGAGAAAGTTCCAGGACAGCCAGGGATGTTACACAGAGAAACCCTGTGTCTAAAAAATAAAAATAAACAAACAAACAAATAAAAGTTTTAGTTTTTAAAAAAGAACTTACTGTTGATTTCAACTAATGTCTGAAGCTCAGGTTCCCCTGCCAGCTTCTGTAGGCGGTTAGGTCACTTTGGGGCAGTTAACCAACCCCACAAAGAGGGCGTTAACAAATGCAGACATGTTGCACATGGACTGACTTCCTGCTTTCTGTAGTTTTGATTACCCTTGCTCTACTAACCCCCTGCTCAGCTCCTTTCCTGTTACTTCATTCTTGCCCTAAAATATTCAGTAACCCCTACACAAACTGAATCTCAGTTGCTGGAATTTTCCCTCTTGCAATAATCTCTTACTGATTAAAATCTGTCTCTATTAGTTTGTGTATTTCCATGCTTGTCTTTGAGAACAGAGATCTAGAATTCTGCCACTGCTCACAGAGATCCTCCTGCCTCTGCCTCTGGAATGCTGTGCTAAAGTTACATGCAGCCACGTTCTGCCAAGAGCAGAAGTTTCAAACGGAAAACATTAACATCTGCACAAATAAGTATTTCCTTCCAATAAAAAATCATTAAGATTGTTGCAAATTTTGCAAAAAAAAAAAAAAACACCAAAAAAAAACTCAGAGAGCTCTATCAACTGATAGGAAATGGTAAATTGTTTCATCTCTCATCTTTAGTAAATTCTTGGTTTTTCAAGACACGGTTTCTCTGGGTAGCTTTGGAGCCTGTCCTGGAACTTGCTTTGCTCTGTAGACCAAGCTGATTTCAAACTTATAAAGATGTACCTGCCGCTAGAGTACTACCACAGCTTCCACCGGGCCAGCTTTTGGAAAGTCTCGTCCAAACATTTGCAACTAAATATCCAAACTGGCTGCTGCCACTTGAGCAACAAGCTCTGCCTTGCAGAAAGCAGCCCGCAGAAAATGTATCCTTCTGAAAAACAGAAACCCACCCGAGATTTTGGAAGGCCCAGTTTTCAGGAACTTGACTTACAGAAGGTTCTTGAGCGTGTGATTGAACTATTCTATTTCCTTTGTGTATTTTCTCTTAAGGTCTTTCTCAGAAAGACGTATATGTCATTGAGCTGAGTGTTTGTGGGAGAAAGTCCGTGGCCTCCGGATCAGAACAGAAATGGGAATGGGTGGCTGAGAAAACATTGAAAGTTTAGAGCTAACAGCCTTGGTGGCTCTCCAGATCCTCTCACATCTGGTTCTAAAGACCTTTGTGGTTTGGGTTCGCGATAGTGTAGATTGAGCGCCACCTAGAGGTTTATTGTTGCCAGAGCAACTTCCCCTTCAAAGGCCTTTGGCAGTGAGCCGCAACCTTCCCGGAGCCCCCCAACACTGAGCACGCCTAAGGATCAAAAGTATTGGTCTATGTGACAGTTATTATGGTATTTATCACTTTCATCTTGAATTTTGTTGAGGTGAAACAGCTAAAATTAGAACACTTAAGACTGTATTTACCCTGAAAATAATGCATAAAGAAATGCTGCCAGGCATAGGGTTCAGGCCTGTAATCCCAGAGACAGGTGGATGAATGTCTGTGAGTTCGAGGCCATTCTGTAGACCTACATAATCATATTCAATTTAGCCAAAGCTCCATAGTAAGACCCTGTTTTCAAAGGGTGTGTGTGTGAGAGAGAGAGTCAGAGAAAGATATACCATTTTTCATGTTTATATTAGCAAAAATTAATAAAATTAAAAGCCTCTCAGTATGAGTCTAATGGAGGACATAGAGGAGGCCTGACCTGAAAGCATTCTCAATGGGCTAAGAATGATGACTACAACCTTTGCCTTTGTTGCCTCGGTCCCTGGAATGCTGGAATTACAAGTGTGAGGCCTCACAGAGGACAAAATTTTGTCTACTATGATGTTTATACATATATATGTATAATTCAGTAGTCCCATGATTAGGAATCTATCCTACAGAAATACAGTTTAAAAAAGAAGAAAAGAATGAAAGAAAGAAAAAGAAAGAAACTAGCTTTTTTCAAGTGTGACAGTTTACACCTGTAATCTCAAAATTTAGGAGACTGAGGCAGGAGGATTGGATTTGAGACAAGCCTAGCCTCCATATCAAAGTACTGTCTCAAAAAATATATATCAATATGTAAGGATATCTGTACTGAAAATGTGATATTAGTTGTAACAACAACAACAACAACAACAAAAGTAAGGTGGTGATGGCAAAAACCTATAATCCCAGCACTCAGAAAGCAGATGAAAGTGACTCTCTCTGAGTTCGAGGCCAGCCTGGTCTATATAGTGAGTTCAAGGATAGCCAGGGTTGCATAGTGAGACTCTGTCATGAAAACAAACAAACCAAACCAAAACAAAAAAGAACAAAAGAAAGAAAGATCCCTGAGCTGGCAATGGGATGAGACAGAGAGATCATTGTAGTTGAACACCTCTGTTGATAAACTAAAACTCCCTTTAGATAGATTTTCTCCCCAAAAAAGGTGTTCAAAATACTATACACTTTAAACATTTGTCACACTCTTCCCTTAAAATTACTATTTATTTAATTTATTGTTATTAATTTAGAGAGGGACATGTGATCACTTAGTTATCTTTCTCTTCCTACTAGCTATGATTTTAATCTGAGACCAAATCTTTCTTCGTTCTCAGGAGTTAAAAGGAGAAAACATGTGTTTAGGTGCTCCAGATTTGTAACCACGTCTCTCCTGCAGAAAATACTATGCATCTTCCTAGTCCAACCTGAAGGGAATATCCAATCTGCATAGAACACTGAGGTCCAAGTGGCACCGAGAACGCCATCAGGACAAAGTGGGCTTTGGAGAAGCTACACACCGCTCTGTGCCCCACCACCACGATCTCTGCCTGGACAATCAAGCACTACTTACCCTGGAGGGGGATGGGAGGGGTTATTTTTAAGTAGCTTTGGTTGGCCTTCTCCTGAGCTTCTTTCCTTACTTCTCTGATCTGAAACGTTGCCACTACGGCAATATTTGTTATCTGTCTATAATATAACTCTATATAGTCTGAAAATATGACGGACTCTAAGAAATTTATAAAAGTGAAAATCCCAAACGTTTTAGTGTAAACCAATGGTTCTCAACCTGTGGGTCGCGACCCCTTTGGAAAATTTCTGTCTCCAAAAATATTTACAATAACATTCATTACGGTAACAAAATTACAGTTATGAAGTTGCAATGAAAATAATTTTATGGCTGGGGGCGTCAGCACCACTTGAGGACCTTAAGGATCGCAGCATTGGGAAGGTTGAGAACCACCGGTGTAAATGAACGACATGGGACACATAAGCTTTCAGATCTTTAAGAAATGCTTCTCATAATGTGGAGAGTGCTGTAAAAAAGGATAAGGAGTAAAGGAACCACATTCCGGAGCCCTAACTCTGAGCCCTAAGTCAGGACTGGCTTTTGAGATTCTTCTCACCAATTTGTCATAGTAACTGTTTCTTATAAGATTTTCAGTTACACTGAGTATACCAAAGGAATCCAGACTCTGGCACATGAAAATACGGGTCCCACCCGTCCTCAAAAGTTATTGTTAAGAAGGCATTATTTTTTTTACTGCAACTCTTATTTCCAAATAATAACTTTTTTATCTCGATTTTTTTTAGAAAGTACAAAAAAAATTCAACAACATTGGGATGAGAAAAGATGAATTGTTTCATAAAGCAGCGAAAAAGTTTCAAGTATCAATACGTATTTCCAGATACATAAAGAATCTAGGAGCCAACGAATAGACTATGTATCTCCTAAGAGTTTCTGGAAGCCTCTCGTACCAACAGCGCCGCTGGTGTAGTGGTATCATGCAAGATTCCCATTCTTGCGACCCGGGTTCGATTCCCGGGCGGCGCACGTTGTTTTTTCTCTCTCTCAAATCAGGATAGTTTGAAAAAGAAGTCATTTCTGCTATAAAAATATTATCAATTTATGCTTTAACCTCCCCGAAGATTTTTAGTTCACTATATAATTCACTAACGAAACACTTCTGGAAGTACACAAATCCTGGCTATCGGCATTGCGCCTGCGCAATCGGAGCCATCCTTTGCCGGGTGGAAGCGCGGCTGCGCAACAAGTGACTCTAAGGCTGGAAGCCTAGAGCGGCGGCCTCCGGGTGAGCGTGCAAACTGGGTACGCGCATGCGCGGTGCGGGTCACCCGGCTGGCGGCTTCGATGCGTCCGGCTCGCCGCCATCTTGAATCGGGGCTTCATTGTTCGCGGTGGGCCGAGCATTTTTCTCTAATTGCGGCCGAAGGAGCAGGCGAAGAACCCTCCAGCCAAGCGAGGAGGCCCGCTTTTCCGCAGCCATAGCCGCCCCAACGATTTGGGAGGTAGCGAAGGGCAGGGAGCTGGACCCTGAGGTGCCGCCGCGACCGCAGCAGCCATGGAGGACGAGATGCCCAAGACTCTGTGAGTCTGGAGCAGCGATGAGGGAGGAGGGATGGTGGTCGCCCCGGAGGGAGGCCGCGGCCCAGAGCCTCCCCGCAGCCTGTTGTTCTCCGTGGACGCCGCGCTGTGGTGTTCCTCCCTCCCGTGCGCACGCCAGGATGCTTAGAGCCGAGACGGGCGGAGAGGACGATGGCGGGAGCGGGGCTCGGCCCTGTCAGCCCCTCGGCTTGCCGCTCCCGGGCCCCCAGACCTGGAGGAAGGACTTTTCATTCAAAGCTCTCCTCAGGACTCGGCACACCCTCCTGTAGCCCCTGCTTGCTGCCCCCCTCCCCGCCCCCTCTGGTCGATGACTCTCCTTGATTCCCTCTGGAACCCCCTTTCACTTTCTTCTGGTAGGGTTTGTTTTTATTTTAATTCTGGAGGGTGAGGTAAAACTTTATTCTTGCAGCTGAGAACTGTAAACAAAACAAAACAAAAAACAAACCTGACCTCTTTCTTGAAAATCTTGGGCTTTCCCTCTGTAGCGCTCCCCTGACCCTCCTTCGACCAAAAACCTAACTGGACACCCAAGGATGTTGATACCGTCCTTAAGAAATGGAAATGTCACTCGGAGGAATGCATCTACTGAGGGAAAGTGGATTTAATTAAAACGCATTTACCACCACTTGCTAATAGTGATTGACTTTGTTACGGCCGCAGCAACTGTAGTCAGTCTCAGCGTCTTTAGTGAGTCTCGAGTCACCCGCGCTGAGGATGCTTTCTTTGTCGTTATAACTTCCCCTCGGCGGTCTTTGTTTTCCAGCGCACTGGATGAGGGGGATCCTGCCTTTGTTGCATTGCACAGGGGCGAAAAGGAAGCGTTCAAGGAATTGTGGGTGGTTTTTGGGTTTTTTTTGTTTGTTTGTTTATTTGTTTTTTTCGGTATATTTGAAGATTGCGACTTGATGTCTGTTACACTTTGTTTATAAAAGGTTAGTTCATATAAATGAAGTAGATTTAACATCATCTCACAGAGTTTAACTTTACACCTGGTTCCAGACATGGCTTTTTGTTTTAATTTTTAGAACCCCGATACTTTTAGAGCTATGTACATTTAGGATTCCTTTTGGAATTTTCTAGATATTAAAATTGTTCCGAAGCACGGACACATTGTTATTTAATCCTCTCCCCAGTTTTCAATTTCTTTTTTTGTTGTTTGTTTTGTTTTATTGAGACAGTCTCATTGTGTAGCTGTGCCTGTCCAAGAACTCACTATTGTAGACCAGGTTGGCCTCGAACTTGAAATCCACCTGCCCCCACGCCCAGCCACAATTTTCAATTTCAAGTTGGTATTTTTAGTGTATATGTGAAATGTAGTTACTTTTTTTAAAAAACAAAAAACAAGGTCCCTTTATAAGTAGGCCAGGTTGTCCATGAACTTGCTACAATCTCTATACTGGCTTAGAACTAGTTTCTGCCTCAGTCCCAGGTACAAGAATTAAAGTCTACCATGCCCAGTTTAGTTTTTTTTTTTCCTCCCTCCCTCCCATGCTGGCTGACCTGGAACTCCCTTTGTAGACCAGGCTGGTTTCCAAACTTGAGAAGGTCTTGATCTCCTCCCCAAGTCCAGGCATGTACCATCTCACTTGGTTTACACTGTTCTTGACATATTAAATATTTTGCTAGTTTATGGAACCTTAAAGTAGCTTTTTAGTAAGGATGTAATATTTGGGCATGCTCCCTTGTTTTTTGAAAGATTGTATCTGTAGGTGAATGCTCTCTAAAAATCCCACTATTTGTGGGAACTTTTACCTTTTTTGTCTGGCATCTTATTTCACTTGTATGAGTATTTTTTTTCTCTATGTGTGTTTGGGAACTTTTGAAGTCAGAAGGCATTGACTCTCTTGGACCTAGAGTCACGGATGGTTGTGAGCCACTATGTGAGTGCTGGGAACCAAACAAAAATCCTCTGCAAGAACAAACGCTGTTAACTGCTGAGCCATTTCATAATGAACTCAGTATGAAATTTTTATTTGGCTTTTTTTCCCCCCAGAAATTGCCAGAAGTATCTGGTAACATAATCTTTTCAGTACATAGGTGGATATATCAAATAATGACTTTTCAAAGCAGTGTACAAAAAAATAGGCATTTAACTAGTTTGAGATTGGAACCAGGAAAGTATTGGAGTTTATTCACAATACATTTTCACATTTGTTGAATTCCTAGTTTGTGTCAGATGCTTTATGTGCTCCTTTAGTCTTTTTTTAGAACTCTAAGGGAAACTGCATTTTATAACCAAAGGAAAGCTAAGCTTAATGTTTCAGCAGTTTACTCAGAATCATATATTTTAAGAAAAAAATCCTTGCTGGGCATAGTTGTAAACACCTTTAATCCCAATACTTGGGAGGCAGAGGCAGGCTGATCTCTGAGTTCAATCAAGGTCAGCCTGGTCTCCAGAAAAAACAAACACAAACAACAGCAACATAAATAAACCCTACAGTTCTGTTAACTGTTGTAGCAGTGGCTAATTTTGATTTGTGTCCTTGAGTAAAACATCCCATTCCGGAGTTTTCTCCTGAAAGTAGTCCCCATGATTTGAATTTTCCTGTTATCTCGTAGCCTATTGGTGCTACCTTCCTCGGTCAAACCTTCCATTCTCCCACTCAGCCAATCTTGATTAAATATTGGTAGGTACTAACCCCTAAAAGTTTTCCCAACAGTGTTTTTAAAGATTTTTTGTTTTGGTTTTTTGTTTTTTGTGACAGGGTTTCTCTATAACTTTGGAACCTGTCCTGGAACTAGCTCTTGTAGACCAGGCTAGCCTCAAACTCACAGAGATCCACCAGCCTCTGACTCCCAGGTTTTAAATGCTCACCTTACTGACTCTGGGAGTCGGGGTTTTCTTTTTTAATATGTATTCTCAGCCACAGTCTGGTGTGTGGTGAGTCATCACACTGGTTTGAAAATCGGGGGTAGTTCAAGAAGTCAGTCACGATTTCCCTTTGAAGAGTACTGCTTTCCTCTCCCCTGTGCTCCCAATTGACTCAGAAGAGCATCTTCATTCGCTTAGTGTTCAGTGTCACCTTGTGATTGTCAGCAATCACTTTGTTTTTTCAACACAGTGTTTCTCTGTGTAACAGCCCTGATGGTCCTGGAACTCTGTAGACCAGGCTGTCCTTGAACTCACAGAGACCTGCCTCTGCTTCCTGAGTGCTGGGATTAAAGGTGCTTTTCCACTGCCACCCTGCATGTCAGCATTAATTTGAAAATAATATTGTAAGAAAAGTCAAAAGTTTATACAGCAAGGTAATTTTGAGGAATGTTCAAGGTATATCTGGAGTTTGGACATTTGTAGTGAGTGGTTGAGTGATGTACACATATTATTCTTCTCATGTATAAGAATTTCTCCAAATAAAAAGAATAAAAAATATGTATAGTGAATCTGAATTGGCTTTGGTCACTTTAAAACTTTGAATTTGTGATTTAAAAATTGTGGATTAAGCTAGAAAAACATAGTCCTAGTTGATAGGATTTCCTCAGATCCAACTAACAGCTCTCATGCAGTTTATTGTCAGAGACAAATAAGTACTCTTCAGATAGCTGTGTGGTTACTGTGTGGCCTTATGGCTACTAAATTTGTCGGGCTCTAATTTTTACGGCAGAACTAATAGCCTGTGGCTAAATAATTACGGAATGCTAAATGGCCTTTCCGCCACCTTTGTGTATTTGTAATTTTCGTCCACCCCACTTCTCTCCAGACAGTTTGACCTGATAATTTGTATGAACTAGCATACTAGCATATCTTTTCTCTTTTGAATTGGGTTGTATTCCCCTTCCCCTTTATTTTTTATTTTTTAATTTTATTTTTTTTGAAACTATGGCTCCTGGCCTGGCCTTGTGCTTGTTTATTCTTAATTAAGGATTAGATTTTCACTGGATGTGGTCACTCACACCTTAGCACTAAGAAGTCTATCTCTTAAGTTAAAGGCGAGCCTGGTCTACAGAGCCAATTCCAGCACAGCCAAGGATAAACAGAATAAATAACTAGGCATGCACACTCAGAGGTAGACTGGGGAAGGTCAAGGGTTCAAGTCCAGCCTTGGCTACATGATATTTTGTCGCAAAATAAAGTTCTATGAAAGTCACAAAAAAAAATAATAAAATTAAAAAAAAATAGGTCTTGGAGAGGGAATCAATGATCTCCTTAACATGTTTTTCGATTTATTTACATGTACAAATGTTTGCCTGTGTGTATGTATGTGCATCGCAAGGGGACCTGGTGTTTGCAGAGTTCAGAAGAGGACATTGGATCTCCTAGATCTGGAATTACAGATAGTTGTGAGCCACCATGTGAGAATTGAACCGATGTCCTCTACAAGAGCAATAAGTGCTGTACACCCATCTCCCTGCCCCTCATTAGGACATTTATAGAATCCTTGAAACATTCGGGGCAGAGTTCTTCTAGACAGTAGTTGACTAATACTTACTTTTTTAAATCTCAGCTTGTAAAGGATTTCTCATTAGTTTAAAAATCCACCTATGCTTTTCCCTGAAATTTTTAACTTTTCTCATTATAAAATCACACACATTTTAATATGGTATGGCTAAAAGCAAACCCAGTCTAATGTTCTGCTTTGTAAGTTAACTGTCTAGAGCTATATTAATAAAAATTAATATTTCAATAGTTTTGGATTCCATTTTTGTAACTATCTGATTTAGATAGGAGTGGGGAGTTGAGACAGGCTCTCGTGTAGCTGGTTCTTTCTACCTCTGCCTCCCAGATGCGGGATTACAGGAGTATTCCTACACTATACCTGGTTCTTACAGCTATTGGAAAACTTAGTTATCCATTTCAAAAATCTATATTCCTCAGAGGATGTAGCTCAGTGTTAAAATTGCTTGCTTAGCACATCCTAGCTTCAATCCTGGTAAATTGAATTTAATGAAACTGTCCTGACAGGAGCTGTTATGTTGTCACTAGTAGTACTGATGCCCTGTCAATCAAATCTCACTTGTTAGGCGATAGTCATTTTGAAAACCTA